CCCCCCCCCCCGCTCCCTCTCGCTCAATCTCTCTCTCTCTTTCATACACACACATATTTATCTCTTTTTCTCTCGCTTTCTCTCCTCCTCTTTCTCTCCCCCTCTTTCTCTCTCCTCTCACATTCTCTTTTTTCCTCTTTTCCTCTCTTTTTCTCTTTTAGTAACCCCTCTCATTCCATCTCCCACGTGCTCTCTTTCGGCGGTCGGGGGTCGCTTTTCCAGCGTTCTCTCGTCCGTACACACGTGTCGGCGTGAGTGCGAGCGAGTAAGCGAACGAACGAACGAACGAACGAATGAACGACGAACGAACGAACGAACGAACGAACGAACGAACGAACGAACGAACGAACGAACGACGAACGAACAAACGAACGAACGAACGAACGAACACACGGACGAACGAACGAACGAACGAACGAACGAACGAACGAACGAACGAACGAATGAACGAACGAACGAACGAACGAACGACGAACGAACGAACGTACGAACGAACGAACGCGTGTACACACTCGCACTCGCGCGCGTTTGCTCGCACGAACACCTACGTCGCGCGCATACACCCTTCTAGGGGTCGTGTATTCGAGTTCTTTTATTTTGCCCTGTGGAGGTAGCAGAGGGTTGAGTCGAGCGAGAGCGGAGAGAGCGCGAGGGTACGCCGGTGGGCTGGGGGCGATGACATCGATTTTTTACCCGTTGCTAATCTCAATGTTACCTCCACCTCTTCCTCTTCTACCTCCACCTCTGCCTCTACCACTTCCTCCTTCTCCACCTCCCGTTCGGTCATCTCCGTCCGCCCCCTCTTCACCTCCCCGTCAACTCACTTCGTTCTCCCTCCTGCCGCTTCACCACCAGCCNCATCGGGCACATTCGAGAAGGAATAACCATTTTTTCGTGCCGGACAACACTCGCTCCGCGTCGCCCGCGTCCTGCAAATTCTCCTCGTCTCTCAACCACCGCCTCCGACCAGCCAACCGCCTCCCGCAACCCTCCCCTCGACACCATCCCGCTCGCTCGTTCACCCATCGGTCCTCCGCCTCCCTCCCGCGCGTCCTCTCCATTTTTTCGTCAAACCTTTTTTCGTCTCTCGCCCTTCTTCTACAGCCAACCCACCTATCGCGGCCTCCTCCTCATCCTCCACCCCTTCGTTCCCCCCCCCCCCCTGGCCACCTACTGTCGAACAGGGNGCGAAATCGAACTGACGTGGACGCGGCAGTTTTCCATCTTTCCGTTCCCCGTGGGAGCGATGACATTTTTTTTCGGTCTCTCAACTTTTAGATCTACGCGGCCGATTCGCCTGACGTGGAAATATCGTCGGCGCGCGCGCGCGATATCGCTGCCGCCGCCAGCGTCGTTTCTCTCGTCGATGCGAACTCTCCTCCCTCTCTCTCTCTCCCTCTCTCTCTCTTTTTCTTTCTCTCTCGATGTCATATAATTATATTGCGCGACGCCTCGCTGATTTCACCGCCGACTGGACTCTGCGAACCATCCTGATGATCGGATGGCGGCTGAGAGAGAAATCCGTCCCCGATGATTCTTCCATCGCAAAATTCCCCAATTATTCCGATATTCGCGGGAAAGGTAGGACCACGAGATACTACAAGTTACCTCCCACGGGTAATACCTCCGGCGCGCTTTAATTACGAAAAAAGGGAAGGCACGAATGATTATTCGGTTTTGATTATACGGTTAGAGAGCAAGAGTGGACGATGACGCGCAAATCTGCCTTTCCATTGCGGTCGTTGGAAAGTCACGTGGCGGTGGGCTTAATCGCGAATCGATTCGATCGACACGCATTAATGAGTAGCCACCCCGTTATACAAGGGTGGTCGAGCCCACTCGTATGTTCGCCGAGCAGTCGTCGTCGCGCGACACACACGCGATTACCACGACGTAACCCCGAACAGCGTGACACGCGTGTCCCGTGCGTTATATACACAATTCGAATTGCGCGTCGCCGCCGCCGCCGCCGGTCCCCTCACGTGTGTGCGCGCCACGTGTGTATCGCCGCCGGCCCCGATTTCTCAATTAATCCCCCGAATTATTCAAAGCATAACCATGTGACGTTAAATCTACGGGCGATATTAAGTCCACCCCCGCCGTCCGAATAAATTTCCGGTGTTACTTGGCGATTTTCACGAATGCATCGGTGAATCGTTTGTTGGAAACTACGCGAGTCGTCACGTAATTTTCGGCACCGATGCACGCGGCTAATGGAATTTCTGATAAAAGCATGAATTTACAACGCCCGCGTAATCGCCCCAAACGGTCGGGCGATCTAAGCAGCGTCTCCTTACGCTCGTTACGCGAATGTTGTCCGTTCCTCTCGCCGGAGACCATGGTACGCATTACGTTTCGCAGGCGAAGAGTCGGAATAGCGACGAATACTTGAACGTGGATGGGATGATTTTATTTTTATTTTAACACGTCGATCGCCGCTGTAATTTCGACGGATTATTTATTTATTTATTATTCTAGCTTGGCTGTGAAACTCGGATAACCGAAGTTACAATATATACATATGTTATTTTTTTTCCTGGTGATGTATAAATTCGACGGTTATTTTTCTCAGCTTTCTATCGACTATGATATTTAATTCATTAGGTGCAATTAGTTATGCTATATACGTAAATTAATGAGACGCGGCGAAATCATAGTATCCGTTACCGGATGCCCCATGGCAGTCGGAATATAAAGGGGATGAACGGGGATATTTTATTTTTATTTGCACGAATAAAATTAGTATAAATTCAAAATTCATATTTTCATATATAAGCGTGTGTGTGTGCGTATGCGCGCGCGCGCATATATATATATATATATATATATGTATATATATATATTTTTTTTTTTATATGAAGATAAAATTTCCTTGCATGAAGAAATGTTATCTAGTTCCACTAAAAATATCATGTCGTGTTATCAGCGCTACTATCTAGTCACTTAATCACTTTATGTCATTTTCTTTTGACAAATTATTAAAAAATTCATTATTATCCAGAATAGGTCACTGTAGTC